TAGTAGTAACCAATACGGTGGCCTCCATTAGACCTATAAATCCATTAGTGCAACAGCCACAGTTGTCACCCAGCATCATTGTAGATGGTGAATTATCATGGAGACATCTTTGGTGTTCTGGGCTATATTTGCAACTCAAATTGTATTAGGAAAATGGAAAGCTTATTCCTAAAAATAATGATTCAGTGTAAAGTTGCAGCCAACATTAGTGTTCCAGTGGTTGTCATAACATTACATTTAGCTGATGCTTTTATCTAGAGCGACTTACAATAAGTGCATCAACAATGAGGGAACAAACCCAGAACATCAAGAATCAAGTACGTGGCTAGCTCGCAGTGAGGGAGCAGCAAGCCGATTGGCAGATGCAGAGTGGAGTGGACGGGCTGGGGTGTAAGGTCAAACCATGTCCTGGATGTAGGCTGGACCCAATCTGTTCACAGCACGGTACACAAGTACTAGTCCAGCTTGTCCAGACAAGCTTCTGTCCACCTGTCAGCAATGCTTGTAACACCAAGGGTCCTTATATTGAGTGAAAACCTACAAAGCTTTGTTTGATCAGCACTTATATGCATGGAACAAACTTCAATAGAGGCTAAAACAACTGTATTGCCAGACAGAACATTGTTAGACGACATTTCTGGATAACTGGATTACATTTAGAAGGAATGTTTGGTACCACTGTATTATCACCTGGATACACAAATGTATTGGGCCCAAGAGTAGTGCTGTACAAGTCTGCAGAAGAATGCTTGGTCCTGAATAGAGGTTTAAACCAAAGCCTTTGCTCTTGTAATGCTGATGGAATGGAACCTGTGGTCACCTCTGTTTTCCCAAAGTACCATGGGTCAGCTGTCTAAGTTGTACAGCGTGACATCTTGTAGAAATGAAAGCAGAATATGGGGCGTGAAGCCTGTTAACACACTGCCTGTGGACTCACTGTTATTGGGTGTGATAGGCATCAGTATAAGCAGATAGGATCAGTCATTTCACCAACCACACAAATGAAAGTGCTACAAAGAGCAGTCACTTATGACTGTTATTATTACAAGCTGTGGGGAAAAACATAAAATGCACTATAACATCCAATATTGTTTGTGAAAGCTAATATTTAAATAGTGCACGTATGCAATAAACCCAGCAGGGTTTGGGGTGATATTAATAATAATTGCACCTCTTTTCCTCAGTGCCTCACTCCTTTTTTTTCCAGACATGTTTGCCTTTCCCTTGTGTTATTTATTCTGGGGAGGCAAATCACTGAATTTAAAAGTGAGTAAAAGTGTCTCTTTTCTGTGCCACAGCCTCATGTATGGCTGTTAATTTGCCGTGCAGGGAAACATTATGGGGCCATTAGAGGCTCTTAAATTGGATTCAAGCAGCAAAGTCATTATCGTCCACATAAGGAAGATTTCGATTGAGAGTGCCTCATCTAATATTTGATATAACTACCATATTAGAGAGAAATGTTGGATCCGATTCCCAGGCAAAGATAATTCTGTGCAGCGTTGCTAGATTAAGTTTATTTCACTTTAATAACAGTTGTGGGTTCATTCATATCTTATTTCCCTGTTGAAAATGAGTCTGTATATTTGTGTCCTTTAAGCAAAGAAATCAGTGTAGTTCAATTAAGGGATTTATCATTCTATTTATTTTCTGCAATAATGTGGGCAGAAAATTCTTGAACTAAAATGCTGTCTCTACATTCTTCAGCTGCCTCAATCCATCATGGATTATTTAAGTAGGCTAGAAATATATAGACTGCGAAGATTTGAATACTTCCAGTTGAATAAGACCACAGCCTACACCTTTAATTCTTACCAGGGACAGCAAGAGAAGGCCAGTGCATAATAAATGTAGAATACCTTTCAGTCTAAAATGATCAGTATTTTATTTTAGTGTACATTTTCATTTGTGCTCAAGTTGTCGTTCTGTTTCTACTGTGTAGTAGTGAGTAAGAAATAGATCACTGTTTTGAGAAATTTTCATAATGGACAAGTAGGCTAATCAATGTGTAAACAATGTGTAATATACTAATAATAACTGGGCAAACTTGACTAACAGAGAATAATGGTAGAATTCAAGAGCATCTTATATGGCAAGTGGATACTTTTTTTTTTCAGACTGGAGCAAAACAAAACAAGGCAGTTCTCAGAGAGTTATAGTCACTAGTCTCCTGTTACCATATCAAACAAATAAGATTTATATTTGTCTTATATCAATCTTGGGACCAACAGTGAATTAGCATATTGACCAGATTTTGTAAAACAGCATTATTATTTAAACAGCATGCTGTCATAGTGTTAGGGAGTGCAATGCTGGGAGAGGATAAGGGAGCAGGTGGACCAAAAAGGCAGAACCAAAAGTTTGCAACAGAAAGTGACCTTTACTGAATTAGGCAGGGTATAAAGCCATACTAGAAAAGTCTGGAAACTTACTGGGAACAAGGCGAGTGGTAAAACAACACATGGACATCAGAAAGGCATCTAACACCGACGAACTGACAAAAACATGGGGAAGCACAAAGACTTAAATACACACTGAACTGATGAGAAACTTGAGACAGGTGGCACAGGACAAACAGGTGAGCCTGACAAGGGCAGGAAGTCCAGGGGGAAAACACACAAGGAGCAGAGACTACAAACTAAAATAGGAAACAGAGGAACACTGAGAGGAACACGAGCTGAAGCACAGGGTGGAACATCGAAAGAGGAACACAGAGATGAACACAGCGAGGTACACAGAGAGGAACACAGGGTGGAACACAGAGGGGAACCGAAATGAGGATTCAATTGCTTTTTAATGTCCTTAACTGGCCCCAGATCCAGCTAACTGGCCCAAGATCCAGTTATTTTAGGTCAGATCACATCCTGGTGATGACGACCTGGAAATGGGGTTAGGGTTATGGTTAAACTACATAGACAATTCTCCAGATTTTACCCAGAGGTCATGTCTGAAAATGGCTTAAGTTACACATTTAATTTCATAATGCATTGTTTTTTTCATTAACCTCAGAATGTAATGTACAAACATTTGTACATTCCGATCCAATATATTTGTCACACAGTCCCTCAGGGATTTCCCTCCCACTCAAACCAGTTGGGCTGTCTGTGGTTGTCAATGTTGAATGTCAGTTGATTTTATCCATTTCAGAGACACTTAATGCATTGTTGGCAATTTAGACAATTATTTTGGTTTCACTAATATGATAAGAGTTAGATTACACAAGTGGCAATATTAGGTCATCTTGTATTTGATTCCATCTCACACCACTCGTTTTTATTAAAAGTAAATGAAAAGAGTTTCAAGTGATGGGCAGGTTCTCCCTCTCCCCCATGTACTGTAAGTCTAAATTCTATTAGTATAGGCACATCCCTTTAAGGCTATCGCTAACTTTTAACCCTGGCGCACAGGCGTAACACTGAAAAAACTTTAGTCCACGCCCACCTGCTATGGGCCCCACCCCCCCGGTTTCACCTTGATAGTAAATTGGACTGAGATGTAACTAACGTTCTTTATCGTATAGGCTTCGCCCTTTGGGCTGTCACTATTGGGTTAAAGGTGAAGCTCAATTTAGTCCATGCCTCACTGGGTCTGTATAGTACCACAAGCATAAACACATTTACTTCAATAAACAAAACATAATCCATTCCCAGACACCTTGTGTCATGTGTAGACACCATAAACACCCATATCTGCTGGTATTGAATATCATGGTAGAGTGAAAAAATTATGATCCATGATGGGATGAGGTCTGGGGACAATGATACCTACTGCTGTAAGAAGTGATATATGAATGTTTCACAGGGTAGGGAAAGAATCAGGCAGCTCTCCACAGACCTACAGGTGGGAAAGAGACAGAGACATCCAAAATCCATCATTCTGACAAAACACTCCGTACAGAGTGAGTCATGGAGAAATGGGACACATCCTGCAGATAAAAACCCTCCAAAGTTGTCACTCTTAATCTGAAAGAGCTCCTTAGGTTTTTAGACGTAAAAGCCGGGTAAGGGCGTAAAATAGCCGAGCCGCCACCTCATTGGATCCAGAGACATGAAGGAGCCACAGAGAGAGCCAATAAGTCACTGACTCTCTTTTCAGATGCCAGGGCCAACAGCAGAGCTGTTTGGACTAACAGAAGCTTAAGACGAATCTGATCCAATGGTTGGAAAGGTGCTTTTACCAGTGCGCTTAAAACCAAAGGCAAGTCACACTGAGGGACTAAGGACCGCGACACTGTTGCGTGTCTCCTTATGCCCAGTGGGATCGAGACTCTTTTCTACACACCAGTGCTGAGAAGCGGTCCATTTGGATGCGTAAGAAGCTTTGGTAGATGCAGCCCTGGCGTCCTGTATAGTGCGCACAACATCTTGAGAGGGGCCCAGCCTCTCCAATCATTCCCGTTCAGCGGCCATCGGGATGGAGGCTCCAGTCCCCATGACAAGTTACTCCTCTCAACAAATTGTCCACTTCCCTGTCCAAATGCTGGGAATATACACTGCTCTGATGGACGATGGAAAGCAGCTGTCTCGCTGTGTCCAAAAGGTGCGCCAAGCACACTCCTCCGTCAGGCTTTATGTAGGCTGTTATAGCTTTGTGGTCTGTGCATATCAGAATGTGCTGATCCTGCAGAAGTTAAGCAAAATGCTGGAGTACTTTCCACACAGTGAGTATTTCCAGCATTTTGATGTGGAGGGACATGTGAGCTGGCCACTGTCCTCCCACCACCTGTGACAAACACATTCCTCCCCATTCTGAGAGAAATGCGTCTGTGAATACTAAGATGTGTGACGCAGCACTCCCCAGCAGCACTCCTGCTGAAAGTATGAGGTGATTCTTCCAGCAAGCTAGATCAGCACCTACTGAGGGAGGAACAGCAACCATGTGTCTCTGCTAAAGCACAGGATCGATGCACTCCCACTCTGCTCTGAGAATGGGCACGCATTTATCTAACACGCTGTTGTTGTCATGGTGACAAGCAAAGCCAGTCCCCCGAGAGGGTTTACCCTGACCCCGAATATGGTGGCCAGGCTCGGCTCCAGAGGGGGTACAAAACCTACCACCCTCATGGTGGGTAAATAGGTGGAAACCGGGAATTTATGTTATCCGGGATCTGCCGCTGATCCAGACTGGTAAGCCTCGATACTGGGGAAGTGGGGTCAAACTGCGTCACCCTGAGCTTTCTGGGTCGAGGCGAACATTCTTGACATCCTGTCTGGTGGAGCTGGAGCTTGCGTCACGGGCACCATCAGGTCTCTGTAAGCGGCCACCTTCTCAAAGATGCTTGGTAATGCTCAGGCGAGGGCACTGATGGCGTATAAGTAAGTGGTGGCTGGCAGGAAGTCTGCAGATTCCCACCCCCCCGGCAGGAGCAGGAGGTGGACCGCCTGATAAGTCGTGGGTAGCAGGAGCGGAGTCGTCTGAATCCGGCCCCTGTTGGAGAAACCATCTCTGGTGATGTCAGCAAAGGCATTTGCCCTATGTTGCTTCTCGAGAAGGAGCTTGCAGTAGAGGCAGCTTGCACGGGAAGTTAGTGGCAGCATGCTCTGGTCCCAGGCATGATTCGCAGCAGGTCAAAGGACATGATGTACCCCATCTGGCAGACGAGGCAGATCCGGATGCTGCTGGAAGACATAGCGGTGAAAGATTTATTCTCGTGCTTCTTGCTTAATGCTGGTGGAAGAAAAATGGGAGCTGATTGCCCGGTCTCTGTCAATTTCTACTCAAAGTGAGACTGGGGATGGGGACCAAAGCAGGTGGACTTGGGCTCAAGTTTCTTCAGTGCTGCTAATGCATATAAGGGATAAAGCCACTAGCGATAGCCTTAAAGGGCGAAGCCTTTACGATAAAGAACTTCATGGTCACTATCAAGGCAAACCAAAAGTGTTAGCCCTGCTGCAAAACTACAGCCGATGCATGAGCAAAAGACACCTGCGACGTAGAACTGTGGCACCGGTGATTATTTACTGATGGGCTCGACAACGGGGCTTTATGAGCAGCTAATGATAGCTAGCCAGAGAGCTGGCAGATTGCTTGCTAGAGCAAATGTATTTTTGTAGCTGGCAAGTTTCTTTCGATTGAGTACTTTTGCAAAATTAAAGCAATAATTTCATGATATTAGTGTAACGTTAATTACTTACAGGTATTCTTGCTTGAAGGCTGAATGCAGGTTCGTCCGGATTGATTCTAGGAAGTGAACCCACGCATTAAAACTTCAAAATAAGAGAATATTTACGCCTCCACAGAACAATTCAACAAAAACAGCTTGTTAAACATGCGCTGGTCTAATTTAAGATAAGAGCTGGCCAGACGGTACAATAATCGGAGCCTGATGTAATTAGTCATTACATGACTTGACCTGGCCCTTATCTGGCTCTTACTGACTGGTCCAGGTCAGTCTGTGTTTGCTTAGTTGTAAAGAGGCTTTTTTTCTTTTTCACACCATTTTGTGCAAAATTGGCAGAGATCTGAAGTTATTTGGGGCCTGTCTGGTACCAATAATCAACATGGCTTCAGTAACTAAGGTTAATTTGTTCCTCACTCTGATGTTTTGATGTGAGTGACCCTGCTGTCACTGGTTTGACTGCTTGGATAATTGCATGAATAAGAAGGTGTTCCTTACAATCAGGGTCCTTGGTAAAAGAAACCAAAGTTTATTGTGGGTAGGAGCATTTAAATGAACCAGAGACAAAGTTAACAGACACTTAACTCACCCTGACAGTGTGTACAAGGGTCCCATCACAGTGTCACACTACTCCCACCTATGCTACCAGACTACAGTGATAATCCGCACAGCCAATGGAGACCATGACATTTACTATTGTGTGTACTTATTTGACCATGCTGATCAGTTGATGCTGCAATTATTGTAGGCAGGCTGTGGATGAATGTTGGCAGGCTGTGGCAGCCAGTGTAGAAACACAGGTATGACTGTGTTCTTATCTGTTATACAATGAAAGATACACTGAAAATACAAAAAAATCCATCTAGTAAGGCATTCCCTGAATATCAGTGAGAGATTTCAAGTTTTTTTCTCAAAGATCCATATTTTGAGGAAATTGCCTCAGGCCAAAATATAGCATTTCCCTTATTAAACAAACCAGCAAAAGCAGCCAGTGAGTTTTGATGTTGAAATTAAAGTCATCAGTTCCTCGCCTGTATTGAGCTTTGTGTCCCCTTACTGCCACAGTTTGTATGTCACATCCGTCTCTTACCTTTCTGCCATAGACAGAAGGAATGGCAGCATCGGGCTCTATACTGAAATCCCTGTTGAGCCTATGTTATGATAAAGGTTCAGGTCAGGGTAAAGCATCTGTCACCCACATCCATTAAATACATCCCTCTCTACTTGTTCATCTCCGACTGCTGTCACATTATTCTGCAACCTAGACAAACAGCACACAGAAGGCAAGTTACTCCAGATGTCGCCAATAATGAATAGCGTCAACCATGATTTACTTCCTGATGATGGTGGGAAGGAAATGAAGGGAGAGAGTCTTTGATCCTGCAAACATCAGCTCATTGTACAACCGGTGCTTGTTGTCCTTGTGGGTGGAAGAGATGGAAGGGGAGAGTCTGGGGGTGAGAGGGTGGTACAGGGCCAAAAACACACTTGAAAGAAATGCCGTTCTGCATTTCCCTGTGGTACATTGCCAAGGGACCGTCCTTCATGTGTCATAATGGTTATCAGTGATGGCAGCTTCAGAGCATAAGGCAACATTTTTTTGATTTGCTCCCTGCTGCATTTGTTTGATCATCTTCTGATTTTGATTTCTGATCACCATGTTGAATGACAACTGTGTGTGTGTGTGTGTATTTGTGTATGTGTGCCTCACAATGCAGCTTAAGGAGATAATCAGGGTACTCCTTCCAGCCAGAGTCTTTGGGAGAGCCTTAGTTAGTTGCATGGTAACTGCTAATTAAATGAAAATGTCAGATGTGGTGTGTGTGATAGGTGTGAGTGTGGGTATATAACCCCCTCAGTGCATTTGACCCACACCAGCAATCATCCTATAATCAAGAGGAGGGAAGATTCTACAGACACGATCGGACTAACTACACAGATTCAGTCTGGGCTACAAAGAATCTACAGGATGGACGTTGAATATGATATGAAATGTACACAAGAGACAGTACATATTTGTTTCACACATGCACAATGCAGCGGGGAAGGGGGGGGGTTCTCTGCTCAGATGCATTCATAACAGCAACAAATAATCCGCAGGATTCAGGTGAGGCCTAGTGCAGCAGACAGAGGCAGAATATAACATTCATTCTGCAGAGATCATGTGATTTTTGTACTGCTCAATCACCAGTCACAAAGACTGAAGTAGCTTTTGGATTTTCGGATTTGGTAACCTTCCTTGTGCCAACTTTATAGGCTACTACAAGTGGTGAAATGGTCTGGGTAATATTTGTGCTGCACACTTTGAGTCTCTTACACCCAATCCAGAGTGATGTCACCACACCACACAGCAAATTGTCTCAAACATGGTTCCATGTACCCTGTCAGTGAGTTCTTCAGAGCAAGGTGAGGCCCTACAGCAAAAGAGACAGAAAAGGAGAAAGGAATAAAGAAAAAGATCAGAATCACAGATGATTGCTTTATTTCCTCAAAGAATAAAAAGGTATTATAGTCCCACTCTTTTTTTTTTCTCTCTATCAGTACATCGCCCTGCCCCCCATCCACTTCTTATTATCCTGCTCTATCAAGGTGGCAGCACTTTCTTTTGTCCAGCCTGAATGTGAAAGGTCAGGCCGGTGATCAAGCCAGTAATTAGACAGACCTGGAAAGAGGAACTAGATCACTGCATGTCACCCTCTTCAAATGAACAGCCAGGGAGCCTGTGTTCCCTTCATACCAAGCCACACATAAAGCCTGTGCCTCTTTTCATTTAAGAGGAAAACGAGACGAGAACAGCAAGGTGGCTCGCCTTTATTTCTGCCCTTAATCCACTGCTAGTGGCTTCTAAGCCTATTAGTGTCTGGAAACTTTAAGACACCGGCTAAAAGAAGTGGGACCTCAGAGAGATGAGGGTAGGTTTTTCATGTTGTGTGTGGGTGTGTGCTTTCATCTCTTTCTCTATCATTTACACACAGGGGGTGGATGCAATAACGTAAACACCTGGGTAATACAATGCAATACAAAACAATAGACCAAGTTTCTGAAATTACTAACGTTCACTTTGTGTCGCAGTTCGAAAAGGTCATTACACATAAACAACCACTGTACTCTGATTTTTGTTTTGAACAAAAAAACAAAAAAATGAAAGAAAGAAGAAAAAAAAAAAGGATCCTCACCCTGGGCCAATGGGACTCAATTTGAGCTAGCAGGTCATCAAACTGACCACTGGTCCAATTCACTGCAAATGACAGTCATCTAGACGCAGTTCCCAGAGCTGTGTGTGCCGACTCTTGTGGACCCACACATGACACTGCTCCAATGTTTCTATAACAGGTACAATGAACCTATCGCCGTCACTTCAGTAGTTCTCTCTTCTTTTCCAGAGGATAATGGGTACATATTGGCAGGTTCAATCATGTTAATCAGGTGACAGCCAAAGCTTCTTTATAAGGATCAAGTCATTGTTTTTTTTTTTCCATTCAGAAAAGGGTTCAGCTGCTCTCCAAGGGAAATGTGTCATTTGTGCAAATAAAGCAAATGTGAATTCAGTTACTGTGACCCTTGTGAGGAGCCAGTTATCATCCAACTGACGGATGCTTATCAGAGGTTGCAATTTGACCGAGTAATAATTGCTGGCTGGAGTGATTTCCATCATGCCTGTGCTTAACTGAGTAGTCTGTCAGTTGACAGTGTGGTAAGTTTGCTCATGTGTTTATGAATGTGAGATTATTATTCCGAAACTACTGACTACTGACTTTTGATCTGATTTTGTTACCTGTCTGTCCGAACTATCCTGTTGTATTTTTGTGTTCAGGAACACCTGCCTGCTCCATCTGTCAGCCACACTCTGCCAGCACTCTCAGTCAGCACACAGGGATGCTCTGCCTCTGAATCTCCTCAGACACAAAATTCTGAGTATTCTTAGTTTTTAAGTGTCAACCTGTT